CTTACTTTATTATTTATTAATTTTATCTTCGAAATATGAAATAATTTGAGTAAACCTCCGAATAATCAGCCGTAATACAATATATAAATATTATATTAATAATATAAATATTCAGTTTAATAATTGAAACGTGTACGTGCAATTTCAATTCAATGACAACGTTGAAGTAACATTTCCGAAAGCTTTCGGAGCTTCACTTACCTAGAGTGACAAATGAAAATGATCCATTAAGAATCTCAACAACGCTTACACGTGAATCCCGTGCACAGCGTTTTGATAGTTCAGACATGCCAAGGATTTAAACGGTTCAAAAATTCCATCCTCTATCATTCTTCGTCCGCGAATGCCAATTATTCGCACACGTTCCCAAATCTCGATCACCTATCCTCCAAAACTGAATTCCTCGAATATTCCCCTGCGAAACAACGCGGCGTAACTCATGGATGTCGATACGGCAAGCCATAATCAAAACAACCTCATTTCCTCAAATACACTCCTCTGGAACTAACCTACCTAACAGCAAGTTGAATACCAAGTATAAAAATGGCGTGAAATGTTATTTCAAATTTTTAACGAAGAGATGTATTACTTTTCTATTCAATGTTTGAAATTAACTTAGGCTTTAATTTGCAACAACCAAAAGAAGAGATATTTCTAACCTTTAAATATATAAAGAGTCAAAATACACTTGACAGTTCCAACCATCATAATGGTTGTACATGTTATTTTACAATTCATTGACAGAGGGAAGGAATCTTAATAAATATTGAGTAAAATCGATAGTGCTACAATGTAGTTAAAAATTATGCAATTTTCATTGATACGATTAAAGAAAAACTCATCATAAATATTACAAATCTTTATCCACTAAAACAGGGCTTGTCTCATGTAAACTAAGAATACGAATGAAAACAAATGCTTCGGTATACGTACGAATACAATTTCACCGTGTATCAAAGACAAAGCCGGATATTCGTACCAATATTTTAGTTTCTTTCGCTGAAATTTCTACGACCGACAAACTTAGAACACGTATCCTTCGTAACGGCAATCTAAGCGCGAAAATATTATTTCGACGTTCATGGCGTCTCACACAGTAGTAAAGGGATGAGCTAGCATCCAAGCTGCAGCAACACGGCCGATTACTTAACAACGTCAACGAAAACAGCGCGCGGTTTCCAAGCGCGGCGCAACGCGCTCTCATCTGCATAAAGATCGGCTGCGCGGCGGCGTGGCATTCGCGAGGCCGAACGACAGCCGGCCGTGTAATAATATCGTCAGTTTCGCGGCGGTTTATTTCACCGTCGTGTAGCCGTTTCCAGCCCGGGAGACTTAATATCGTCGGCCGTAAGCCGCGGCCGCAATATCATCGGGCCGACTCGTTTTCTAGCCGCGCTACGCGAAATTCCGCTGGCGCAGCGAGGATCGCGCGAACGCCGCGCACAGGGTGCTGCATGCATGCATGCATGCATGCATGCATGCCTGCCCGGAGATATTTGTCCGCTGGCGAACGCACGGCCCAGGAATTCGTGCCCGCGGACCGTCGTCACCTGATCGATAAACGCAAACGCGGAACAACCACCGACCGACGCCTCGTTGTTATCCGAAACGAGGGAGACTCGGGTTCCGCCGGGGAGATTGCCAGCTGTCGATTCGTTCGTTCGTTCGTTCGTTTCCCAACGACACGCGGAGAGTAGAGTACTTTTCATTCGTTTCTTTCTTTCTTTTTTTTCTTTTTTCTTGTTTTGTTTCTGATACTTCGCACAGTTCGAAAGAGAATTCTGAGCGATTTATTTAGGACGAGTGATTGAATTTTTTCGTAGACACTTGGGCTGGAGTTTTGTTGGTGAATTCGTCGATTGTGAGAGGGATTTCTAGCAAGCCTGTGTATTGCGAGCGAAGATACTCAGGAGGTCAGGTCAAGGTTAGATTCGTACGAGAGGGATGATTATGCGAGGACTTTGGAGAATTACGTTCGATGTTGTTTCTCTGGTGGCGAGAGCAAAAGGGACGTCATTGTTGTAATTGCGAGGTAATAATCGACGAGAAAGGATCAGATTGTGAGGGAGAGATTGTTGAATTGATAGAAACGTTTAGAGTGTATACTAAAGTATAATTAAAGGAGAAACCGCCGCTGAGTAAACGTAATTTTCTTTCTCGTTGATCTATAAATTCGTTAGAAGGAAAGAGGGACATTTGCTAAACAAACGTAATGTAAAATGAAAAAAGGAAATTGCGTCGAGGAGAACGTTGCAAATATTTGCAATTAACATTTCGAGAAGATCGCCAAGTTTCTATAAACAAGCCAATCCAAAATCCAATCTCCCGTCAAATACAGCACTTTAACGATCCTTCATTATCCGACAAGCTCCTCGTTTCCATTTCATCGAAACTCGTAAAACTCTTCCAGCAAGTAGCCTGCAAACTGAATAAAAAAAAAAAAAAAAAGAGAAAGGGGAAAAAAATACTGAAATGAAAAACTGCTTTGGAAAATCGAACAGGCAATACCAGTTTCTGGTCGATCGATCCTGGTAATCAACGAGCTTCAACCAATCGGCATAAAGAACCCACGCCACGGTTCAATTGCAGGAAGCTTCGATATACTTCGCTTCGTCGGTTTACCGGAAAGTAGCGAACGCTCGTATTCGCAACTTTTAAAATGATAAAGCTGATTGCTGGAATTACGTGTTTACATTGAACGCAGCAAGTTACAGTTGAACGAGTTCCTTTGATACGAAAAAAAGTGTCAAACTTGCACTTTCCTCCTTTCAATATATTTTTAATTTTAATCTTTAATTAAAGTAATTAATGATGGAATGAAAAATTGATAATTCCTCTTTTATAGCTCTACAAATATAGATACGTCTTGGGGTGATTTGAATAATTTTCCATAAAAAAATATTTCTCATTTTAATTACTTTTTAGTGAAATTCTAGTTAAATATTCAAAAAGAAAATATAAAAATATATATTTCTCATTTTAATAAAAAAGATATTTCTTACTTCAATTAATTTGCTAAAAAATAGTACACTGTAGCCGTACTATTCGATAATTCTAGTCAAATTATAAATATTAGTAACGCCCGAAGTATATAGAATCGTTCGACATAAGAGAAACCCAAGGTAACGATACACAATCACATCTCGTAATGTAAATTCCGGATTCTTCTCAAATGCAAAAAAATTCACAAAACTCAAGCTCTTCCTACGAACCTCGTCAAAAACACGTCGTAGAGAATCAAAAGAACTCGAGAAAAATACGTACACCTTAAGGCTTGGGAGACTCGGTGAGTCTCAAACTCGGTATCGCCAACGCCTCGACGAAGTTCCACCTCGACGTATCAAAAGTAACGGCCGACAGTTTCTTAGGGAAACGCTCGTAACTTCCTCTACCCCTGGTACCCTTTACAATTCCCGGGGCTTTGTGTGTTTTGACGGGGGTGTTAACTGACCCGGTGGCTGGCGGAGGCGGCGCGGAAGAGGGATACTGCTCAAGAGCAGAAGAGGGTGGCATTAGGTCGAGGTCACCAGGACGCCGAAGCGATCGATGCAGCCCGCCAGGCAGCACCACCCACGTTTCAACCCTCTCCGCTTTCTCCCTCCGCTGAGAAATCTCCTCTCTCCTCGCCGAATAATAACGCCGACCGTTATCTCCGATTCTCCACCATCTTTCTCTCTCTCTCTCTCTCTCTCTCTCTCTTTCTCTTTCTCCGCTTTCTTTACCTTCACCATCGCTCTATTACGTCTCTATTTACGTCTGGTTGCATTTAAGCAAAGACCATCGGCGAGAAAAACTCGCGCCTGGTTCAACACGTGGATGCTCCACATTCGAGCTTCGATCAGCTGTTTCCCCGGGGCGTCGACGCTTCTAGACTCCGCCACGCTCCGGAAACAGACGAATACAGGGCTCCCGAGTCCATCTTTCGGCGTGCATCAACAGCTTAAGCATTTCCCCGAGCCGATATTGACGCGAGCTCACGTTCAAATATTAATTCTCGTAATCTTTTTAGTTTCTCGGCGTTTCGATTAAAACGATTTCGAAAGGCGACGAATATTGCCGTTTAGAAGGAAGAAATGATAGATTTTTATAGATAAATTATGACTAAATTTTAAAACCAAGTATAAACCAAATATAAGACGAGATATTAAGTGAATTTGCAATTGTTGGGAAGTTAAAACAAAGATTTTTAAAGGCAAGATCTCAATATTCAAGCAATGTGAATTATAGAGCCTTTAAAGAGTCTATATCACAGCTTCCAGATACCGGATCTTCAGAGTTTAAACTTGCACGGACTGAAATTGACATCGACGTACATATGTGCTCGGAAGTACGTCACTTTACGTTCAATATCGCATACTGCGACGATAACGTAGATATTGCTATTTACGTGTTGTGGACTGAATCAATACCGTTCATATTCGACGATACTTCTGCGAGAATAGGAATCCGAATTATTCCAAGACATTCGCGCTTATATAAATTTCTACAAGTAGAACGAATTCCCTCGAACAGGCCAGATATAATCCGACGTAGAAAAAGGATCTGTTCAAAGGATCTGCCTCTTAAAATATTTTCTAACTTTGTAGAAGTAAACGCAAATTGCCAGAAATCCTCTCGACTCTCGAGCTTTCAAAGTAACGTTTTCAAAAATTATTTTCTACTTCAGCGTGCTCGTACGTTCGTAAAACCGTGGATCGAGAGTAATCGGTAAGAGCAGCGACGCGCAGCAGCTCGCCCGAAGCGGACAAATAACTTTGCATGAAATCGTCGAGCAGAAGAAACGACTTAGCCCGTGATGTCAACGAGCTCGTAAAGCCAGAATTTACGAGGGAGAGAAGCACTTTGGTCTCAAACTCGATAACGTCGTCCCCGGCGACGGCGAAATACGTTTGAATTTACAGGAAATCGCGAGACGAATCTGCCGCGACTCCATTACCGATCGAATTTTCGAACAGACGAACGTTTTGTTCTCGTCTGTCGCGTGTTGTTTGGTTTCCACGGCCTATTCTCCCCGAAACTCGCGGCGATCTCTCCTCTCTTTTCGTTCACCGTTCTCTTGTAAATGTCCCGGCCGTTTTCAACGTCGAACCGACCGTTTGCCCGTCGAGAATTGTCAACGATCTTGCACCGCCGGGGATCAGGTTCACGTTCTGCGATGACACCGGTTCTCAGAGTGATTTCTGCGTGACTGAAACGCGACTCCGTACCATGCGAACAGGCTTCACGCGTTATGACGTGAGTACGCTCGTACAAGATCATCGCCGAATGGATCAGTTAATAAATAAACCGGTGTTACGTTTTATGAACGTAATTGGAAGAATGGAGCTACGTTAAATACACTTGTTAGACGCTGTGACAAACACAACTGCTTCCGATATTTTGCATATTTTTGTGTGCATTTCGTGTATTTCTTCGAATATTTATTTCCATAAATATTACACGCGTAAAAATCAGTTCCGAGTTCGGAGCTCGTCTCGACATTTTCCAAGGGAGAAATATTTTCTCTTTACGTTTCCAGGAGGGATCTAGAAGTTCAGCATCCAGCGAACGCGAGTCTTGCTTATTCTCGGAACTCGATTTGTTAAATCCAAGGTATCGTTCGTAAGAGTTTGAAAGAGGGACGTTAATAAATATCCAAGATGAACAATCGAGTGATTGTTTGCAGACGTTCCTGTCAAACGTCACGATATCAGCATCGCAATAGAAAAAGAACCGAGGACAGTTCGCCGAAATCATTCGGGGCGTCTAGAAGGAACTCTGATTGCTGTCGTTGCCTCGCAAACTGTGATCGCGTCGAAACAAAATTACGTAAGTGATGTAAGTGAAACTGAATCGTATACAGTAATTCTTTAGACGTTAATTCAGACATCACTCTACTCTGAATATGTTTCAGTGTCTGACAAAATAGTTCAAAACCACAGTCGTGCGTCGAGTTTCCAGCATCGAAGGAAGCATGAGGTAATCTTGTTTTTAATGGATTGCGGATTTTTATTCATTTGTTAAGAAATTTTAAGGTGCAAAAGTACGTAAATTCGATGCGTTTAGTTGTTTTAAATTCGCGAGACTATCTCGATTTGCGTAAATATCCGTAGTTCGATTTTTAGCCACATTCTGAAATATCGAAAAATTAAACATTCCGCAGAGAATGGCGCAGGTTGTTGGAAATAACCATTCAGCGATACGACGAAATTGCAATCGCATTTATAAATTTTCATTTACGTCACTCGACGTCGCATTTCGGGTTTTACCGACGAAAATGTCTACAATCCAAACCAGAAAGCGCTCCGAGGTACATTTCGGGTTTGAAACTGCTTTTACTCTAAAACTGCTTAACTCTACTATCTAATCTGTTACCATTGGTTTTCGTCATTTTAACAAACGATACCACATCGAGTGAAACGATAAAAATAATTTAGAGAAAAAGAACACAATTTCGTAGAAATTAAAAGTACCTCTGGAATGCTACGAGGACTTACTATACGTTGAATTTCAATAACTGTTGAGGACGAATTTTATCAGTGATACGAAAAATAGAAATTTATTTTTCCAATGAGATAAAAGTCAAAAAAAAAGAATTAATAGGATGGAAAAATAATTCACTTTGTACATTATAAATGACATTGAACAAATGTTTGATTTAGGTTATCACTGTGCTTCGTTGTGGCTCAAATGATTTTCGAAAGTTAATTCTATTTACACGAATAGAAATTCGTTTTCCAACACTAGAAAACTGTCAGATATTTCGTACTTGCGATTAGTAAAAACGTTCGAGCTTTACTAAGACAGATCATACGCCATTGCATTACCACAATTCTCAATTAATCCATTCGTTCATTTATTTCTACCCCCATATTCTTACAATTTAGGTAACTTTCGCCACGAAGAAGTCTTCAAGCGGTAGTGAGGATCTTAGCGGCAGACCTTCTAGGAAACTTGGGTAATTATCCGAAAAGTTCGACGAGTCACGTTCACGCACTTAACTCACGTATGCTTCTAATCTGAGTATCGTTATAACGACACCTAATGCACTCCCTTGACAACAGGAGGGGGAAAAGTACACCGCGAATAATTCGAGCGATTCGTCAACGGAGCAAGAAATGTAAGTCGCGCGAAACTGTGGAAACTTGCGAGCTCGAGTTTTGGGGGCGACTGCTGAACGAAATTTCGCTCGATGGCAATATAAAAATTGATGAGATGAAAAAAAACGAGATGAAAATACATATAATTTGTAACTGAATATTGGTCGAACATTTTCGTATAGATTAATACGTATAATAAATTTCATTTGACAAATTTTGGAAACTAGTAGGTTTAAGATAAAATATCAATACACCGTCAAACAAGTAAATAACGAAAAGTAAAGAAAACTACTCGTGAAATACTCGAACATTTTATCGCTGTGCTATGCGCGTTAAATATTTTGACATTACATGAACGTAAGTTTGAAACAAATCTCAAAAAAAAAAATATATATATATATATATACACAAATTCTTTTATAGTAAGTGTTCAAATACTTTCACGAATCTGTCAAAATTTTCAAACCACCAATCAACCCTTGAATCATCTTGATTCAACATTCACACTATCGATCCAAGTCAAAATTAAAATTCCGTCACGAGGTGACTTAAAAAATCTTCTGTTCAAACAAAGGAGCACCTTGAAAAGAATTGGATTTCTCGATTTTTATAGCGGTTCCGTGATTCTGGTCATCCCCAAGGCCCGAAATCCCTGAAAACACGGTCGCGCTCGCTCGACCCGCTGCCCTCTTGATCCCATGTACTTGTTCCTATTCGCGTTGTTCCTCTTCGCCTGCGTGTTCTTCGGCAAGGAACGCGGCAACTCAGGGCCGAGGAGAAAGGGGCCAGCGGCTGGAGCGGAACTCGCGCGGACACCGTTCTTGCGAAGAGCGCCGCTTTAATTCCCCCCGGGGGCGGTTCGCAGTGGCAGAGCCGGACGAGGATCGATCGGAATCGCCGCGACCCGGAAACAGCAAAAGCAGCGTTGTCGTTTTGTATCAGGAGAAATCAGTCGCGCCGGCTGCCTCAACTCCTGAGCCACCACCCCTCAGAGCTGTTCAGTCGGAACAAGCGGTTACGCGTCGACAGAGTCCTCAATCCTCGCGTCATCAGAGGTAATTATGAGGATAATCGCTGCGTGGACACGCACCTAGACATCGTTTCGATGGTGAAACGTCAGGATGTTTTGGATGTTCGATAGTTCGCAACTTCTTCGCGGAGTTCACGAAGAAAAAACGAAGTATAAATTAAAGGTTCAACGTGATTGATTTTTAACGAGGTTAAAAATGATATCATGGTAAAATTATTTATGAATTTACGACAATTTTTTTTTTTACGCGCAATACGAAAAAAGGGTACTAATGAGCGGAATATTCACGCAGAATCAATATTGTCCCTCCTTGAGAATGTTGTAAATTGTAACTTGTGAAGTTATATAGTAAAATGTTAGAATCCTCGATAATTCGCAGCTTCTACGCGGAGTTTACGAAAAAAAAGGTATAAGTCGAAAATCAGACCAACTGACGTCATTGGACGACGAAATTTTGTAAATTTACGACTAATTTTTTGTCAAATACGTCAAACACGAATGAGCGAAATATTCAAACAGAATCAATATTATCCCTCCTTGAGAATGTTGTAAATTATAACTTGTGAAGTTATATAGTCGATAATTCGCAGCTTCTTCGCGGAGTTTACGAAAAAAAAAGGTATAAATCGAAAATCAGACCAACTGACGTCATTGGACGACGAAATTTTGTAAATTTACGACTAATTTTTTGTCAAATACGTCAAATACGAATGAGCGAAATATTCAAACAGAATCAATATTGTGCCTACTTGAGAATGTTGCAAGTTTCACCGGTAGCACGTTAATTAAATTGGAAGTCAAAATTGGGTCTTCGAAACGCTGAAACGTGTTGTTGCTGTCGTTGCGCTCAGATGTGATTAAACAAATGGAGTTCCCAATCCGAAATAATTTCCCCGAGGAAATGAAATTCTACTGGAATTATCTGGAAATCTTCTTAAGAATTTACGAACTTCTCCTCCTTCTCCTAATTAAATTCCCGTGAATTTCGAGGTAGAAAGCGGATAAAATTTTCCCTTTGTAGTATCGACACAAACAGAACGACTCGAATTTTCTTGAAAAATCCGAGAAATTTCTCTCTTCTTTTTCCCTCTCTCTTTCGAACAGGTCGGATCTGCTCGATACTACTCCACACCGACTTCCGGTATATCCGATCGATCGAAGAAAAGCTACTTTCAGGAGACGTCGACGCTTATCAAAGCGGCAAACACCGGTGAACGTGCACGTTTATCAGGAACAGACTCGTTCGTTGTCAGAGGATCGTCGTGTCGGTTCTAAAGAGGTGCAACTACCGGAACGGAGATCCGATCTAGCTAGATACACGACCGAGTCCGCGAAAAATTTGATTAGATCCAGAGGTGGTTCCTCCACTCGACAGGACGACGATTCGGATGAACCTGATCGAGATAGAGGATCGAACAACCAGTGGAGACGCGACAGAATCTTCGAGGAACGATGCCGTCCCTCTGATAATTCTGTTTCGAAACTAATGGCTCGTTCCAGGTACGAAATTACATTGTGACGAGAAAATCTTTAGTTTAAGATTTCAGGCGTGAATTAAAAAAAAAAAAAAAAAATACGACGTTAATATCACATGAACTTGATTTTAAATCGATTTATTTAATATCAGACAAATAAGATCTGATATTGTTTGCTGGTATGGTTATAAAATTTCAAATGAATATAGTTTGACAGTGTCTCGTTAATATATGATAGTTTTATGTTTTACAGAAACATATGTTTTCTGAGTGGAATGATGAATGTAAAAATTAATATTCTCTGACAGAAGGTAAACGATACGAATATTTGAGAGCTATCTAGAACGCGATTAGAATTTTAAACCGACGTTGCACAATAACCTTTGATAATACTCTGGAATGCTGATAAATCAACGATTATAATCACTGAACGTAATATTTGATAGTCCTTGCCATTAGCCTCCGCTAATTACTACCTACTACGTTTAACGACCAATAATTGCAGCATTTACTAGCTCTTAACCATTATCTTTATAGATTATCAATTGTATTCAACGCTAATGGCGTATACATTCGACCATCGTCATAAATAACGAACGTTGATCACAAGAGTAACATCTTGGTTTATACGGAAACTACCCTCGTAAACGTCATCTAAATCTACGAACGTGGCACGATCAAAATTAACGAAGTATCATCAAATTTGCCACCACTGAAATTGTTGGCATAATCGAGATTCAGTCAAGCAGTGTCGGATCTTATTTATCTCGCATAACACACAAAACTATCGTCAGCTAAATCAGCAAAAATTACATTATCCAAATTAATTGATTAGCGAAATTTCAAATAAAAAAAATGAAGGATCATGTAAAACCACGTAAAACTACGTTTCAGTCCAGGAAAAGACGGCGATTGCAAGCAACGGAGGAACAAAGCCTGCCCGAACTTAACCTATCTGATGCGTACAAGGTCGAGGGAACGAGGCGACGTTCATCGTGCATTTGTCAGTTTGAACGACGGTGGGACCACGAAGCGAGTGTTCCCGTTCCAGCAAACGCCAAGCGGCAATCTGAAGATCATTCCCAATCAGGTAAACGTTTCGATCGATCCTCGAACAGGTTGACACTAAACCTTAGGAATGTTGGCCTCAAGGCAGACGCGTAGTCGTTTTAGGTGGTGTTCGAATCGAAGAAGGTCAGTGTGCTGGTCGCTGATCCCAGGCACGCGAAGGTCAACGTCAAGGCCGAGCTGAATAGAGCCGGAAACGAGCTCGGTGGACGCGTATCCGAGTCTGCGACTCGACCGAGGCCCATCGATCTTCCGCTGGGTGTATCGTCATCGACGATCGATCAGCTGCAAGTAAGCTCGACGTTTGTAACTTTCGTTTAGTATAGTAGTTTATCGAGAAGTTAGGCGACTTTTCGCTTGGAAGTTCGCGAGACGTTTTTACTTCCAATATCTAGTATTTCAATTACACTTTAGTCGGGCATTTTGTAATACAATTACTGATGCTTCAGATTTAGATTCAGATTCTTTACTTAATTCTTTCCTATATTTAACAAATATCTCTTGAGTAAAGGAGTATTTCAATTTTCGTATGCAGTGAAAGAGTTTGATCGATATTATACATTGGAGATTTCATAAAGATTCTGGTGACTTTTAGAGTCAGAAACATTTGCCATCTACCGAGGACGATTACAGGCCAACGTTACATCCATTTAAAGGAAACTTCAGCCAAGTGGAGACGATGGAGCACAAGCAACAGTCAACGTCGTCAGCCACTCACGAAATACCAGTGTTACAAGAGGTGCCACTTTCCACGTGAGTTTCATTCGCCGTTATCAAACCAAAACCGTGCCAGTCACTTTACGATCGTAATAAAACGAGGAACCCCAAGTTGACGTAACCTTGCAAGGGAAAAACAAAGTTTTATTGCCGCGGGTAGCAAGAGTTTTCCATAAAGTGACTCGGCGTATATCTCGTATATTTCGCTCGATCGTAAGAAAAGCGTACACACTCGACAAACCGTTTCGATCGTCGTGCAATCTGCGACAGACTTGGATTTACGAGCGAACAGCCGATCGATTGGGACAACGTAATTCTGCCGGAGAAGACTGACCTGTATCAGGAGTTGGCCAGGCGTATCACAAATTACAAGTAAGCTTATTAGGCTTAGTGGCCGGTTCGATTGCGAACGAAGTCCGGCATCGGCACCTAATCACTGGATCACCGGCTAAATTTCAATTCGATCGATCATTCGAGGAACGCCGACTGTATCGTGCGAATCGATCACGACGAGTTCCATTGCCATCTGCTGGTGCTGCAGAGCTACAGCAGCTTCTTCGACGAGAAGAATTGCAAGGAGATCGACCTGACCGAGGTAAGTTAATGCCATCTTATTTCTCGACTCGTGTATCTTTTCGCTTGAAAAGTTCAATTTATTGTTTTTCTGTTTTGTAATGTAGAAGATATTATTATTGTGGCTCTCTAAGAATTTGACGAATCTCTATGTTTGTTCAGAAACATTGATTTAACACCAGTCGCTTTTATTTCTATAAATACTTGAGAATAATTAAAACCAGATGAATATCAGTGATAATTAATTTTAAAATACACTTTCATTGTACTTGCAACACAATATCTTATGGAAATTAAATATTTTGTCCCATGGACAGTTTCGCGTGGTAATCGATGTGTTAATTTAGTTATCCAGAAACTCATATTGAAAAACCTAGGAATTTCATGATACTACGAAGATTGAAGTTTATTTATTTCCTTTTTCAAATATAGGCTATCAATTATTTTTATGCTATTACACTTTATTCGGTAAATTATCTTGCTTCAGATCATCGAGTCTTCTGAATAACCAAGAGATATTCAACGCGACTTATTTCCGCTCCGCGTCGATCCTGTAAGCGACAGAATGATCCGCACGATTCTTCTTCCCAAATACTGTCGTTTATTCAGAAATTGGGTAGGCACGCGAACGAAAGTCCTCCACATCTTTCACGAACACCCGCCCGTCATCGACCTTCGTCTTTTAACAAGGCGCGTTAAACGAGTCGTAACCACGAGACATTCCTTCGCACAATTGACATTCTTAATGCTATCGTATCGTGACAGCGTTGAATACACTCCATCGGGAATTTATTATACGATAGAGACGGAAAACGACGCTCGTCCCCTTTGAGATTTCTTGTCTTGAAAAAAAAAAAAGAGGAAAAAGAAAAAGAGAAACAGCACGACGCCACATTATACTCGTTCTCGCACTGGGAAAGATATATTACGAATTTATCGGTATACAGAACAGTCTAGCGAGTCCTTTTGTTCGCGGGATCCGATTTTCCGCCTGTCCTGAATACCTATATCTACGGTCCGCGTTCGATCGTCCACCAGTCAGTGTTCATCTTCCCCTTTCTACCGTTCTCCACTTTCTTTCTTTCTCCAGCTACTCTGCTTCTCTTTTAATGACTCTCCGCCGATAAACTGACCGATTCGATAGAATTCACGCGAATATTCGTTAACGTATTGCTTGATATTGGTGTACAGAGGTGACGAGGTCGATAGTCGGGGTTGTAAAGGCGATCGATATTTATGATATCTCGGTCGAGAAGTGTTTCGCGCAGGAATTTTATCACGCATATTGGAGAATTTCCCGAGTTCTACGGCATTTCGATCTTTTTCATATCGGAGGGGCCATTGGAGGAATTTGATATTTGAAAAATTTGATCCGTGACTGGTGCGGCGCTGGTCAAGTTCGTTGACAGACGAAATACATTCCCTTCTTTATCTATCGAAAGCCTTGGGACAATTACTACGTTCGTGAAGAAACTTCTCCCTCTCTACCGCCACTGTGCTGTGCAGTGCATCATGTCTACAAGTGTACGAACACATTCTTGAACTCTCGTTGCATCAAATATCAAAATCGACATGTATCAAATCACCTGCCCTCGCTGAAATTGACCTACATTCTCAGCCATAAAAAACGCCATAAATCACCGCGAATTCAGGCAGCTTGCATTGTTTCACCGTCAGCCACTCATAAATTACTACGCTACTATACCCTCGTGAAACTTTACATCGAACAGTAATGACAATAATCGAGCGAACGCCGCGCGGATCATGGTCGACGGTCCGCTTCGAGGGGAGCACGGAGATTCAATAAATCTGGCGATGTCGAGGCTTCGAAATCGCCAAGTAGGCAACGAACGAGAGGACAAGGGGTTGCCGGCGACCCCAATCTCTTGTGTCAGCATCCTAGCGCCCCTCGTGTTTCCCGTGCTTCGCCGGTGACTCGGTGGGCTCGTAGCCAAGCGACCTTGAACTCCTTTTCGCTCTTCCCTGGCCACACGGCTATATTTGACTCCTCTTTTTACTCAAGGGTGAATAGCGACGCTCGAATAACCGCGCCGCCACCCGCCGCCCTTTAATGATTCCTACGAGGAGCAGTTTCTACCCCGTTCTTGCCCCGTCGCCGTTCTTCTTGTCACGCGGACCACGAACAGCTCTCACGCTCGCCACGTGTCAAGGAGACGTGTAATTAAAAATGGAAGGACACACGTGCTTTGTAACTAGATAACACCGAGTCCTTCCTCCCTGGCTGAAAACGTCGTCTTCGTTGACGTTTCCCAGTTAAATTGGCCTCTTGGTACTTTGCATTCGGATCAAGTGGCTCGAAGAAGAAGAAGAGGCACTATGGATTACTTATTTCAGAATTTTGCACATTAGCCTCTCTAATTTGAGAGATACGGATAGTTTAAGAACATATTCAAGTTAATGCGTTTGAATAAATTTCTGTTTTAATCTCCTAAAGTTTCTTAAAGTCTGTTGTTTTCCTATGGGATAGTATTAGAGTAACTTTTGACATTTGGTTTGTATCTGCTAGAGTGATGTGTCTTCGAAGGCGTTTTCGCTGATCTACGACTGGATGATCAGTTCGCAGAACGAGAGCTACAGGCTTCTGCAAAGGGACAACATTTTGGAAATCTTCACCGCAGCCCAATATCTCGGAATTAAAGGTGAATTAAAAAATTGATTCTACCGATTCTATAAATTTTCACACTCGAGCGTTCTGTCTCTCCTTGGATTTTTTCCAATTTCCAATTTGTATATTCAAGCGTGATTAATTTCACAATTTCGCAGTTGTAACTTTTCTGCCAAAAGTACAACACATTCTTTGAAGAAGCGAAGATTTTAGAAACGTTATTTCTCGAAGAGAAACCTGAATTTCCTCGTGTTTTGCCGGGAAAAACGCGATATCACACGGCCATTTTTTCCGAGATCTCGTATGGTTCGTTGAAGTTCCGAGTTGGACAGTGACGTATTCAACGAAACTCGAGATTCGGCACCATCGAGACAGACTGCCGAATGCCTATCGCGGCTGGAAACTTTTCATTCTCTCCCGAGTTCGAAGCTTTAAAGCGTGCTAGAAAGCATCGGCTGTATATTGCGCGGTGCACTCGCGTTTTAGAAGATCGATGGAGATGGGAAACTGTATTGGAAGCACGATGTAAACAGGATCGTTGTTCACGAAGCTTCCGCACTGCCGAAGACAAAAGAAAATTCATATTTATACGATGTACAACAAAATCTTATCCTGATTTTGGTTTTATCTTAATTTTGATTTTTATATTTATTTGACCCAAAATTGTCCTGAGTCCTTTTTAAGGCCATGGTATCTTTTTATTTTAATAGTAATTATTCGCAAGATAGTAGTTTTTATTAATCAACAGGTCAATCAGTGTGCCTTAATTTATTGGTTTGTAATTGCCAAGAGAAAAAAGCCTGAGAAAGTCTAGGGTGAAATAACACTCTCTAGCCTTTGTCAATATCAATATTTTTTTCTTTTTTTCTTTTCTTTTTGGCAACAATAGAAAGTTAATAGTTGTATGCATTAATTTACGGCTTTATTATTGCAATCCCCTTAATTTTCATCCCTTTCTCAATACTCAGAGCTAGAAGAACAATGTTGGGCTTTCATAGACAACGACGAATTGTTCACCGAAGACACGGCGTTTCTACTGTATCTGGAAGCGAAGAAAGTTGGAAACACCGCGGTCATGGAACTGATGGTGCCGAGAATTATGAAATTTTTCCTGATGCTGGTCAGCACGAAAGATTTCCTCCAATTATCCGTGGAGGAGCTGTGCCTTTTGTTGAAGTCAAACTACATTTGCGTCAATAGGTAAATACGATTAACAATCAGTACACGTATGAAACGATATATCCTTCTTATTTTCGAACTTTCAATCAGCGAAATGGAGGTTCTTATGTCCGCTGTACGATGGCTGATGCACGATTGGGCCAACAGAAAGCAACACATGTTGGAAGTATTGAAATGCGTTCGATTTGGATTGATCGCTCCGTGGCAGTTGGTAGATGTCAAGAGAAATCCAGAAAACCCCGAATTTATGGAACTGATGTCTTCTCCCGAGGTGCAGAAGATGGTCGACGACGGTCTAGCGTAAGATTCGTACATTTTTATGGGTTTGTTTTTTTATGAGATACGAAAGAAGATTGATTGAGTCAGTTTGAGCGTTTTTCAGTTTCGTCATTATAAAATATTGGTACGGTAACCAAACGGAAGACTACTATCACTGGATCGACTTACTGGGGCTTACGGAGCCAACCAATCGAAATTGGGCTGGGGAAGACAAGGTAATAATTAAACTAGACCGATATTTGAAATATATATAGTCTAAATAATATTTCTCCTTTCAAGAACTACGTAACGTATCGAGAATTTTTGCTCTACCTCGAGGAATATCAGAGAACGAAAATATCAGAGCTGAAGATCCGAAAAAGTCGGGTGAAACCCACAACTATCGGTTCACCTCGTAACGACTACGCATTTACAGCTTCCAAAATACCAAACAACTATATTCAAAGTTCAGGTAATAATGACAATATTATTAAGTAATGTTCAAGGCACGAAATATCGAACTAAAGTCAAAATTACAATGAAATTTAACAAAACTTACGGACTCGTTCAGGCGACACTGCTGTCATCCACAATGGGCCAGCAATGTATTCGAGGCAATCGAAACCAGTATCGTCGAATTATCTGCCGCTGCAGATGCCAGAGGGCATGATGATGCCTCCGAAATTTATGAACGAATACCTGAGCAACTTGGAAAGAAGCAAAGGGGTGAGTAACCCTGGGGCAAATCGAAGATCGACGCAGAAACCTCAAGACGGACCTGTTCACTAACCACCTTGCCACGTGAAATTACCAAAATCGCGACACTAAAATTTTTACGCAAGCCCAGAGACTTTGATATTGCCAAAGGAGAATCAAAGAATCAGAGATCCGTATTCAGAGTCAACGAATAGACGTCGTATATGTGAAATATTTAGATTAACGTATATATTTAGATAACGTATGTCGTATTTATTTATTTATTAAACGTCGATCTGTGTGAGAAAATATACGTGCACACGTGAATTTTGTAAATACGCGTTGTGTGTGTATTTTCACAAACGTCTCACAGAGACGAGTTAGTAAAACTTTGATATTCCAAGTAATATAAACGCCGTCGAGGATGAGAATAAACGTGGACTGTTGAGAACGGTGAGTCGTTTTGCGATCGAATCTCGCGACGAGAAACGCGGAGTGAGGTCAGATTCTGTTTCAAGAGTTGCTCTGCTTGCTTTTCAGGGAATTATTGCGCGGTTATCGTCAAAAGAAATCTCGAGGTAAGCTTACGTGTTTGTAAGTGGAAATGATAAATTTCACCGAAGAGACGGAGTCGAGTGACGGGAGGTTGGGTGGAAGGAAGTCACGGAGCTGTAGTCAAAGGTCAGAGTTTACGTTGCTCGAAAACCCGTGCTTTAATTCGAAAACCCTGGCACACAGGGCAACCGCGGACCATTATGCGCCGCGTACTACTCATGGAAACAGCACACTTACAGCACACTTCTAAGCTCTTACCTTGAGATTACACAAATCCCGTGACAATTTAGCGTCTGTTAATTGCGTCAAAATTGCTCGCATTCGCGTGAATGTTTGGGTTCAACCGGAGCCCGATGACGCGCTCTTGCTGCCGTTCTTGTTATAAATTTCCAATTTACCAAGCAGCTGCGAATCTCTTGCTCTTTGATAAATATATTTGGAAACTCTCCAGTTTGTAATGCAATTTCTGCAGTCGAGAGACATCCAAGGTTCGAAAATGCTTCTAATGCTTTATCTTGGAATTTATTTTTATGCTTTTTCTTTGGGGCAGATACACACGTGCAAAAGTAAATTACCTGCTTTTTTAGAACGTTTGCTGTATGATTGAAAATGGTTGCAGTTTTATTTCTAATAGATAGATATTCTCGTGAAGGGAACAATAAAATTAGTTATCTAATATTTTCAACTTGTATCAAAATTGTTTTGCAACTTTCGAATTTAATATTTATAATGAGAGATAAATTTTAAATTTCGTTTGTGAAAAATTTCTATTCAATTATAAATGTTAAAATATTTTTGCAACGAATGTTTGTCAAATAATTTGGTAGCGAACTATCTTTGAGTGATAGGCTCGTTAAATGAAACTACCATCGTCGTCGAATTAAAAACAGCTACAGAATGATCTATAAATTACGTATGGATCTACCTAGGTGAAACATCCGTGACCCATCTAGCTCAGCGAACAGTGAACACGTTGAGCTCATAGCAATGAAAAATTAACACAATCTTCGCCATCAATTTCACACGTAACTAGTTAGCATACCACTACACTCTGCGCTGCTAATTTCTGGACAAATCACTTGCTGTCATGCGGACAGCAAAATATCACAACAGTTTAACAACTCTCTTGTTGGCTCCAGAAATAAGCCAACGCGAATCTCAGAACAAACGTTACTTGCAAATTAGATCGTAGAATTTAATTTTCAATCTGTCGGGTTGTGTAATAAATTCTTTCGCATTTAAGATTGTGGCGGACGGAGCAACTTTGATCTTTTTCTAAAAAAAATTTCGATATTTACAAGTTCTTTCTGCGTATTTCTCGAAGTGTCGAACTTATTACACGACCGAGAAATATTTTACAAATATTCACATTAACAAATATACGAATTACTGAATTCAGAACGACGAAAGGAACGTCGCCTTCGACGCGAGATTCACGGGTGGCGGAGAATCGCCGAAAGTCTCATACAGATTGTCTGCAGTGCAGAAGTATACGCAGGAGCGCGGCACGAATTCACCGGTAAAGTCTTCGACGAGAGATCTCGTTCGTGAGAAGAAACTTTCTCGGCTCGACGATACGGTACTCTATATCTTCTTTTTTCTTTCTGGAGGACATCGATAAATTGGATTACGAGAGCCGGCAGGAAAAGAACGCGACGGATGTTTGTCGGTGCCAGCAGCAGCGCGAGTCGAATTTCATATTTTCCACGAGGAAGCAGCAGACGAGATCCAACATACCGAGGCAACCGGAAGAGCGTGCAGACTCCTGCAAATCCGAGGAAGAAGCCGCCACAACGATACAGGCCGTTTATAGAGGATACAAGACTCGAAGGAGACTCGACGAAGTTAGTGGATTTTAACTTTGAAAGTTTTTCTTTCTCGTCGTGACTATGAAACACCATGGAAACACGATTGATTTCTCAATTTGGTTGATTTCCAAGCCTCGCTGAATAAAGTAAAGCTTTTGTACTGTTGCAACAAACCCACGTGACTTGTGACTTCACTTCGGAAAACATATTATTTTTAACGATTGTTTTTCTGTAAAGTTTACCGATTCAAAAATTGGCGACGTAGTTTTCAGAGAGTAAACGAGAAACACAAACTTTTCTTAACACGTTGTTTCCTTAAACTTAGATAAGGAAATCAACATCGGGGGAGAATCGCAATATCAAGAAGGTGGCGGAACTTTTGGCCATCCCAATGGACGAAACAATACGTAATTTCTCGATAGAGCCTATCAGGGTATCAGGCAGCTCGATGAATCAAATGAGAAACGAGAAGGACGAAACAATACGCATGTTGAGATGTTCTCCTAGAAATAGGAATAGGGAGCAATCGATCTTTCGAACTCAAAACCAACGTTGCGTCGATGATCGGGTGAATCAAGTAAAAAAAGAAGATTTTCTTGAAAAGACCTACTTACAGAATGAAAAAAACAAATTTATTCGATTTACAGTTTGAGACACGCGCTCTTTGTTACACGACAGAAGAACAACGAAGGCAACAAATTCCACAAAACTTAACAAGCCAACGAGACCCATTGAAATCTATCAAGACTATAAAATCACCCATGTTTTTTTCAAATTACGACGAGAAAACCAGCTCGCCATCAGATACAGATACGGACGATCCTATCTCTCCACGAACTGATGCAAAATCGACGACGATAAATCTCGCTGACGTTGTGATTAATGAGAAAAACAACGAGGAGGATTACCCAAGAAGTGACAATATTCAGCGAGTGAAACCTGCCACTAGGAATGTTCAGATTCGATCTACGAATTATAAACGAGCTCTGTGAGTACGTTAGAACACTGTCAGTATACCAGTGAAATTTCTGTACATTTATCGTCTGTTTGAAATTAAAATTATACTTCAACATTCGCGAAAAAAGAAAACGTTTTTTAACCGTGAATTCACAGCCCGCAAAGGATCAGCAATAGCATAATAGCCACCAACGAAGACGACTACTTTTTCGACAACTCTCTGTTCTTTCCTGACAGAGAGTCGATCCTCGTGTTCGGTGGAGTCGATCCTCACGAGGAATACGGTCGTCCCGGGAACACCGGCAAAGACATATACAGGTTCAAACCCGACGAGAATATTTGGGAATTTGTGGATGAAATTCCACGGGCGAGACATCATCATTCGGTCGCTTATCTAAAAGGCCGTATTTACGTAGTGGGTGAGTCGCGTTTAAATAAAAACTGGAGAAAGTAGAGCAACGTGAATTGTCCGTGTTGTAATCCGTTCTCGCTCAAAAGTTTGGAGTTACGATCTTTTACTTATTGGACAAAGCAACTCCTAGGGAACAACTTATAATAATTCTCATTTTTGAGTATAATTAATTAAAAACTTCAGTACTCTAAATTCATTCAGTACTCAGTTATTTGTCAAAAGAGAAATAAAGAATTGAGAGTGTAGAGTTTAACGAAAGAGTCTCTTACAGTATAATCTTCTGTACGACTTTGGTTTGGAAACCGCGAGAGGGAACTCGTCGTACCTTTTATCGTGCAGTTCTTCTCGTCGGGAAAGATTTAAAGATAATAAAAAAAAAAAAAAAAGGGGGGAAAGAAAAAAGAAACAACACACGAGCGAAACATTTTTCACCAGGTGGAGCCGATCCCGTGGAAGACAAACTCCACAGGAAAAGCATTGCGGCTGCAAGCGTTTGGAGTTACGATCCAACTACCAGGACTTGGTTCAATGAACCTGGCATGCTGACAGCTAGAAAGGACTTTGGATTGGTGGTCAGCCACGGGAAAATGTACGCGATAGGAGGGCAAGGCAGGAACGGGACGTGAGTTGTTAATACAGACGGGGAGAGCGTAATTACGTTGCTCCTTCTTTCGTTTCCCTTTATTTTCCTCGCTGTTTATTTCTACGCTACGCCACGCTAATTGCTATTAATTTAAGCCTTCCTAATTGTCATCGACGTCACGGTTTAAACGAGACAATTCGATTCACGGTTACGCAATGAGAAAACGAGAAAGACACAAACGACTCGTTTTTTATATTCCATACGATAACATTGTAGTTAATCAATATTAACAATAATGTTAATCTATTGATTAACATTAGACGATATTTTGTAGAACAAAAGTTTCCGGTCTGAATGAATCATAATTTAGTATAGTATGGAGGCAAGAGCAAAAGATACTAGCGAATATGTACTACTAGGATTTCGTATAAATATTTAAAAATAATTTTCTTCGTTGTAGAGCTTTGAAAACAATGGAGGCTTTCGACCCAACGGATTCCACGTGGAGGGAAGTGCAATCGATGCAGACTGCAAGGATCGGACCTGCCAGCGTGAAATATCGAGATCTTATCTGGGTCGCTGGCGGGATGACAAAATCGAAAAAAGAGCTATTCTTAAAGGACGTCGAATGCTACGACCCGATCAAAAATTTGTTAGCTCGATCCCCATCCCTTAAAGTTCCTTCATGCGTTTCCTATTTCCCATTATCTCGGTTAAACGCTCGATTTATCGCGTTTATGTCGGCAAATGAGCGAGCGAAAGAAAGAGAGCTCCGTTATATGTACGCTCTTTCAGATGGCTAAAAGCGATAGCTTTGAGGTTACCAAGGTGCTTTGCCTCCTTCTACGTGGTGTCCGACTGTCTTTACATAATCGGCGGAGCATCGACTATGGAAAACGCCACTCGGAGCATCGACAGCATCGACATGTGGGATGTAAACGATTGCATTTGGAAGGAACATGCGAACATGTCGATCGCAAGACACGGTCACTCTACAGGCTCGATAGGTCAGCTTTTTTGCATTGAAAGACACGATAGTCATAGTAATTACTTTATAGCACTTTTTCTGCGGTGCCATTATAAATATAGGAATATATAATTATAAATGTTTCAAATAAGTTGATACCATTTTCTTACGGTATCAAAAGATGTCACATGTCTCCAGAGAAATTCTTCTTCCATCCTTCATAGTAATTATTTTGTAATTGTTTCTTTTATATATAACATTATATCGCATTACTTGATAATATGGTTATAAATATTAGGTTATCGAACCTAAGTTTGTGTCTTGTATTTCTCTGGGATATTTCCATTTCTTTAAATACTAGACGATTTGTTTGGAATATATAAAATTCCATAAATGACACCAATTTCATGGTGTTGTAAATTTAAAAATTTTGTCTGCTTAAAACGGATTTCAAAATTTTCTTTCGCACAAGTAACTGAGAAATGAAGCAATTTATTTACATCTTTATGCAGACTCACTACTTGACGTCTTCTTCCTCTAGGTGATCAACTGTTGATAATTGGAGGAGTAACCACAGTGCTCATGAAAACCTTGAACAGTGTCGAATGTTACTGTTGCGACATGGGGAAATGGATGAAGGGAGTTTCCGCGCTGCCACATCCGGTTTCCGGTCACGGAACCGTGTCTTTACCGCCAGCAAATCTTTTGATAAATCGTTGATAACTGTGAAATAAAACGCATCGAGTTTCCTTAAGTGCTGTGTTTGATAATCGGCGCATTAAGCGTTTGTTCGACCATTAATACATTTGTACTTAATCGTTTTTTAATTATATATATATACATATATCGTACTTTCTACAAATGTTGCCTTGCAATTTACACGTGTTTACACGAGTCCCTTACTCTCACGATAAATATCGCAAAGGAAACAATGTCTGAGAAGTTACCTTTGTTTCCCATTGGCACGAAAGCTTCGGTAAAAGTGAATTGAAGAATAAAATCTGTGCCGGGTCGTTAAACATTCGTTACGCTTCGAAATTCTTGACGAAGGTTAAAAATGCGACTGGTCCTTTCAAACGACTCTTCAACTCTGGAATCCGCCGCCAGGTGGCAGTAGCATTCTTTCGATCCGAGAGCCGCCATCTGTCATGGGAGTCGCGTGTTATGAACCGCGAAGCGTGCGTGGAAGTTTCGAAAAAGGATTCGGATTCGAATGCGGCGAGGTAACTAGCCGCCGTGCGGATAAACGCGAGTTAACCTGAAAATGGCCGAATCGTGTGAGTCGGTGGTGTCAAGTGTAGTGACTGGTGTCGCGTCTCACGGGCAAACAAAAGCAGCTGAAACACCGAGCCAGGAGGACGCTGAGACATCCGGTACCCCCGGTATGTAAACTCTGCTAGAATATCCCGTAGCACTTTGAAAACGGTTCGTTCAAACGGAGCTGTGAAGCACGGCCATGCAACAAGTGGCACGGAGCGCTCTCGCGTGCCGAACAGGAACGTGCAAGAACGTTTATGGGCCCGTCGGGGGCCCTGTTCGCTAACCCGGTATTTTCCAACTAACATGTCGTCGTCGATCACGTGACTCATCGTTCACCTATGCAACTTAATTTTCGCGCGTAGCAACTGTCAAAAATGGCGAGTTACTGATGACATTTGTCATAAATTCAAATCCTCCGGGATTGTTCATTGAAATGCTCGCGAGTTTTATCGAGAACGATCAATTGCAACGTTGCATTCTTAATCTTATCATCTATGTTTCTCTTTTTTTACAGATAATAAATTTATACGCGTATCTGCGTTGTTTCATTTGATTAATTCTATTTTCCGTTTCATTTATTTGCGAGCATTAGGTCTCGAATGTACGAATTTTGTTGAAAATCATTATCATTGGGTAAGTTAACGTTACTGGCGCAAATGTTATTACTATGCATAGACACAGATGGATAAGACCTCGCGAAACAACTTTTTGAATCAAAGGAATTGCGTGTTGGATTCAAGTTGCTCGTAAATATAGTTTTTCTCAAGTGAAATGCGAATTTGCATTTAACCTATGCACACGTAAACCCGACGATGTGTCTAATTGATTTTATTAGCCATTAGCGACAAGTTCGCCGAGACATTTCCCTGAAAAAAAAAAAAAAAAAAAAAAACAAGTTCCTATACCGGTTTTTATTTTATTTATTTTATCTTCATTTGACCGGCTTCGAATTTTTAATTTTTGTGGTGGCGCTGCTCAACAAGAAAGCTGTTAACGCGCTATTTACCCGGAAACACCGTACAAATAATTTCTACGATTAATTTCACTCATTTTTTTACAAACGTTGAAAAATTTAACATTCTTTGACATTTTAAATGTGTATCTTGAATCAATCATTAAGGAAGTGTCAAGATAAACACTCACTTATCGACGGAAAAATGTGATAAGTGATAAGTGGTTCTTGATAAGCTTTAAATCGTACGTTAGATACGTGAGATTTCTTGCACATTATCTGTCCGTATTACTCAAACTAGCTTCTATCACATAACAAAAACATTACTCACAACTTGTTTCTTTTACCTGTTACTGGTACATTGCTGCACCAATATCTGTTGTAATTTTGCAATGCTCGTATCATAAATTACAAAAATTAAATTTCATTGAAACATTGTACGTATTAGAAAATCATTACATGTGTTATTACATGTAAATCAAGTATATATTTTCTTTTTCCAAAGAAATTACTTATCTTAGCATGGTCAGTACAAAACGCACAAAAAATCCAGTTATTTTATAATCGAATTTCTTAAAATGTACAAATATAATTATATCATTAATATATTCTCAAATAAATATTCTTTGATTCTTTAAAATGCTTTCTGAAAATAGGTATTTTCAATAAATAAAAGTAAACGTCGTGTAAAAGTTTGTTTCCTGAAAGTGAAACAGATGGCGCGCTAGGCTCTTAGTATGAAATAGCACCATCGATGGCGCAATTGATCTAACCTATCAAAGCATTATCCATTAGTGTGTTTGCAAGTTATAGTATCGTTAGAGGAATAGGGATGTTGGAACCAATTTTAGTAGAAGACTGTACATATACGAAACTGGTTCCATCATTGGAAAGAGTATTAAACGATTTGAACGAAAATTCTACTCATCATGATTATATGGTTGCTTTGGTAATAGTATTACTAGCAGAGGCTGGTTTTTACTTGTCACCGACAAATAATAATTATTCACGGTATGTATTACCATTCGATAGCGATTTTCTAACAATTTTCTAGTCTTAATTGTATCTGTCATAGTCCAAAACTAAAATCTCTCCATGTACCAAAAGATTGGAAATCACAAGAAACGGGAGTGTATGAGATGTATTTTCAGCCAGAAACTGTACCTGATATAAAATGCAAACTAGTTGCATTCCCTCTAGGAGATACGTTGATTATAAACTTTTTCCCTCTCATAGATGGAAAAATTACTTATACAATAACTGTACAAACTCTGAAGTATGTTAATCCTTATTCTAGTGATCTTTATGGAAGATATATGAGACTCAAAGAGATATCTTACAGGTATAATTTATTTTTAATTTTGTGGTAGTTATTTAATATGTATTATATTTGTTATTATAAAATTATTTAATAGGTTTAAGGACAAATTGTCAACACCAGTGCGTTCAGATATATTGCACAAAGCTGGTGTGATGGGTCCTAGTCTTCAAGCTTTTCCAACTGAGTTAAAACTCAGAATTTTAAGATTGCTAGATGTCTGTAGTTTAAAAAGAATGGCACAATGTTGTACAGAATTTCATGAACTCTGTTCAGATGCCCAATTAAGGACACATAATGCTACATAATACTCGAGCATGTCGGGTATGAAATTGATAATGTATCATGATGGTGCAAAATATTTTAATTTCTTATCTCTTTTTCGTATTTTAATTTATTTTATTTGTTTCGTATCTATTATCATATTTGACTACTTATCGTATTTTGTAAAATATATTTGTAAAAAATTTATATTGTTATAAATATATAAAAATGACACTGCGTTTATTAGTTTTATTTGTATATTGATTATATTCAAATCTTCACATATGTATCATATTTTTACTTCATGCCTCGAGTGTCTTGAATATACCGTTTCGCAAATATGAATTCACAAGCGAGATTTATAGACCATCATTAAACCATTACTGCAATGAATTAATTTCCGGTATATATTGAGAAAGCATAATTAACGTTAAATAGTTTTTGTTTGAATTTTCCATCAAATAAAATGAAACTAAATGGAATTAATCTGTTAACTGATTAAGCATACGTTTTTCCTTCTTTGCTTGCCAGTTAAGGAAGTATTGAATAATAATATTTATCAATTATAAATTATTATATTATTATTACATTAATAAAATTAATTATAAAATTCTCCTTTATTTATGGTGGTATGAAAGCTTTATCGATACGACTTCGTTGGATGCGTATACTTCATTTCTTCATTTAATTCATGAAAATTTAAATCCTTCTTTTCCACAGATTACATCATTACGGAAAGAAAAAAGAAAAATTTATGCGAAATACAAGAGAATATTAGAAACCTCGTCTGAACTACCCGAGTAGAATTATATATTTTACAAAATTTCTTAAAATAAAAGTTTTCAAAGATCAATCGACGTATGTAGATTTTATTTGGAGTTTCTATTTTTAAATAGAATTAGTTCTGTTTAAGAATAGAAATCCTTTCGATGTCTGATCATTAAACTATTCAGATGAATAAATATTTTTTCGTCCTGTATTTTTTTTCGTCGCATGACGCATCCGGTTTCAAAGAGTTTAAATTAATTTCTTGAAACTAATTAATCACATTTTTTTACGCCCATGAATTTCTTTTCAGCGGACGAGGTAACGAAGCCACCGGCGAGCAACGATAACGCACAAAACGAGGAAACGACGACACAGAGTAACGGTGATACCGGTGAGTGATAACCAAGGCAACAACAATTACGCTCTTGCTCTACCGCGTTTCGCTTCTGGTGGATACGTCAGATGGAAGCACACCTAGTTGCACCTATCGATCTGGTATAGCGGTAACGAAAATTTTCCTCGAATGTGCATATGAAAACTAACGGTGGTTGATATCGAATGGAAACGATCACCGCGAGTCGAGTTCCAAATACTATTACAGTTAATGAGCGATCAATTAATTACGCAATGCAACATTCAACGTGCGAGATCGTGCACATTGTCAATACGATTCTCGATACGATCTTTGATTTCTCATTATACAACTGTGAATAAATAATTTGTCACGTCGTCGTTTTGCAATATCAAAAGCAGACTGTTGCGTCGTTCGGTAAAGTCGCTGGAGATTGGCATATCTGATTACTCTTCTCTCGTTTTGATTCGCGGTTAGTTTTTCCACGGTGAATTTTAATCAAAAACTCATCGAATTTATTTATTTGGTGAATTGTAGAATCGTCGGAGATGTTGAAAGATTTTCTTGACGATATTCCATAAAAGCCTTTAAAAGATTGATCATTTTGACTAGGTATAAATGAATTTTGTCACTGGTTCGAATTTATTTAAATGCAAAATATTTACTTTGGAAGATAGAATCGGATATTAAGATTGGGACGTTAAAAGAGTTTCCACGTGATATTCCATAAAGCTCCGCGAGTGATTAGGTTGATCGTTGTAACAGTTAGACTCTATTTCATGGAAAGTGATGTTTTTTCTGAATACGTGACTTTATGGACAGGCACGTATGGTCTGGAACAAGTGTGAAAATCCCCGGTGATTAATCGTTGCTGCTTCCCAACTTTTACGTATCTTTTTTTGAAATGGTCATGGATTTCATATCTTTGTTAATCGTGACTTTTATCGAAAGCACACACAGTTCTGTATTCTTCTCTTTTCGCCTGTTGCGTTAAAAATATAAGTGTTGAAATGTAAGTGTTGAATTTTGAATTCACCAAATCGATGTAATAAAATAATTTTTAGTTACGTTCTTTAAAATCCGCAAAGATATTTATTTCAACTATCACCATATCAGTTACAACGAATTATAATTAAGTATTTCAACACAGTGTAGATCATTCACAGAAAGATAAATAAATACTTTTCTATGCTATCTTCATGCTATCTCCAGCTGTAATCCATGAGCCACTCTCCAACGTTTCTTGTTTTTATTCCCACTGAAAAGAAAGAAAAAAAAAAAACCGAAAAAACTCCGATTTTGACACGGGCAACGTTACTATTTCCTTGCTGATGTCCATGACGATGTACATACATCGTTAATCCGCGAAATGCAGTCTGGCAAGTGGATTCGCATGTTTCACGCGATCCCGCAAATTCGAAGGCAGCGCTCGATCGTTAGACACGGGATGGTTGATAATTATGGCTGCGATAAGCTGTCGAATCGCGGTAGGAAAATGATTGAAACGTTTCTGCAGATTGGAGTTGTTGTGTGTTGCCTGTGACAAATATACCTTGTTACGGCGTCTGATTTGTGTCCGCCGATTTTGCAAAATCGGCGGATAAAAGATTCGAGGGGGAAGCGGATAATTGATATTGGAACGCTTGACAATATATTAAATTTCTGGATTAATTTATCATTGTAGTCATTCGTAATTTAGTTACAAATTCTAGTCAAAGCGAATGTTCCATTCCTTTGTTTCCATTTTCCTCTGACGTTAATACGATTATATATCGATTATATATGATTATATATAATATATATATATATATATATATATGACGTTAATACGAAAAAATAATGTATGGATATTCAGACAGAAAATAGAAATTTGTTATTAATTTTCACTTGATTCTCTTTTTTATTAATATTTTGATCTTGTGACTTTCTTTGTTTCGCAAATGAAACGTTTGGAAACGGGGTTAGAATCAGTTTTTCTATCGGTTTGAATACTGTGACTTTTTTTTCTCTCTTTTACGAATATATTTCTTCAGACGAAAATAAATTTGATTAACTCCATTGTTGCAAGAGAATCAAATAGAATTTCCACGTTTCGTGTTATTTAGGTTTCATCCGTAGAATTGTTAACCTTGATGTGAATAGCCATTGATGCTTTCGATGTATCGAGCCGCGATAATAAACTCGTACATACTGTTATAAATTCTTTTATTCTAGCAGAGAGATTTTTATTATATCTGTGTATCGTATTTTTCTCGTTCTAGTCAATTCTCTTTCGATCCTCCCTCCGTAAGTAGGTCAAAATTTATAGAATGCTACAAGCTCGTTTACTGTGGTCAAAATGGCCAATTTGCAATATTTCACAGAAATTTTACATAAATGCCGCGTTGTATTCTTAGAGATTCGAATGAATTTTCCTGAACGATTTTACACTCGTACATATTTTTCGTCATATCCTCTGCACTTTAATTTTTCTGATACGAGTTTCGTAACTTTTAATTTAGTACTGTCAACAGTTCTAACATTAAAGATTCGTTTGTCGAAGAATACCACAGTCGAGCAGTTCTACTAAAAATTTTCCACTCGTTCCATTTGTTACTCAATACTCGACTCTCCAACGGTAAAAAACAAAAAAAGGAAAAAGCGACGCGATAGGTATTTCAATATTTATACGATTCACTTGTGCTGTCACGTACGAGCGATTTATCGCTGTCTCTCCTCCCGTTTTTTGAACTGAAACTCTTTCCCTGCAAACCGTGTGACTTTTAATACTCTTCTCTGCCTCGCCGCGGCTTAACGAACTGCGAAGTTTTGGCACAAGATCATCGTGTAAACTCGGTTGAACATAAATCGGCGACGATGTTCACCGCTGTGCCCCGTTTCGCGACACTCTCGATCCTCGCATTCGAGCCTCACCTCGAAGGCGACTCGAAGAAATGGAGGAACGAAAAAATAAAACTGCTCTTTCGTTCCAAACAAACTCGATTGGTACGATCCGGCGACGGCGATGTGAATAATCTAACCGGCCAATGAAGCCAGTCGTCGGTTCGCGTGCGAGCTTCAATTACCAGTTTTTGACCTAAACCGTTCCGCCACTGATTAAATCGTTCGTCCCGCACTCGACTATTTTTCTTTAATTAGAGATTCAACTGGCAGCCCGATAATAATTAATAACGGCGAGGCAGGGTTGTTAACGCACGAAATTTAGGGCGAACCGAGCGCTGTAAGGTCGCCTAGGGGAACTGGGTCACAGCAGGTGGCGGCGACTCGCAGAACGGGAACACCAGCGAAGATAGAGGGAGCGAAAGGGAGAGAATGAGACAGAAGGGGGACGTTGGAAGAGTGCACTTTTCGAAATCGACCGCTAAACGCTCGTTCGTTCCTTCCTTTGTGGGAGATGCGCCCTCTCAGACAATCTTGATACACAGTGCAGACTATTTTCTGGCCCGTTTATCCTCCCTCCGCAACGTTCCACGCCTTCGTTGCGCTCCTTGTCTCGGGTGTCTCGCAGCATCTTCCTTCTCCTCTTTGCTCCATTTCGACAGCCAGAGTTTTCAAGTTCCAAGCTCGAGGTCGAAAGAAACGGGACAGATGCGTCGGGCAATGGAATGAAAGTCGGTTAGAATGAAAAAAGAAAAAAAAAAAAAAAAAAAAAAAAAAAAAAAAAACAACGGGGGTCGGGAAAACGACATAAAACGGGGGGGAGGGGAGGAAAAAAAAGGAAGAAACGGGCAGGGAGGGGGGAACAGTTTTTTTCATATCGTGAAAAAAAAAAGCGAGAGAAAGTATCGTCCAACAAGCCTGCTCACCTCGGGCCACCGATCCTGACGGAATGTTTTCATCCTCCCTCTCCAACCCTCTTTTTTCCCTCGTTTTGCATTCTGTTTTTCTTCTTTTTTTTTTCCCCCCTTTTGGATTTTTTTCTTTTTCGACAAACATTGCCCATCGCTTAACAACACCGCGCGATGAAATTCCAGATGCTCCGTTCGTCGAGCGAGGGAAACGAGGCTCGTTCGAAGGAGGAAAACGGAAAATCGTGGCTCGTGCCGAGTTTGGGATAGTTGATCGAGGGATTGAAGAGATTTCTGAGGAGAGACACGGCTGAACGAAAAAGAAATTGGA